AGGTTTACTGTTAAGTCGGTTTGTGCAAATACCACGTCCTACTTGGTGTACTTACAGGTTTATAGGAAGTTGGTAGTTTCACATTGACACACGACAGACTTTTGTTGGCATCTTATTTAATCTTTGACTCATCGTGCACGAGTTCAATACCATCATAATATTATTCCTGTCTAAGTCACTGCAGATAAAGCTGTCTAGCTCGATTTGACTGTCGACATTATTTAACAATTTGATATATTTCATTATTATTGTTGGCAAGGTAAAAAGAAAAATACAACAAGTTCAACCGAATTAATACTCCAAGAAAAAAGGTACTTTCATAACATACCGTGTAATTTTAAATTATATAACTCTGTGAAACCTTAAAAATATTAGCGTTTTTCTCTGATATTTTTCTTTGTCAATATCTCTGATGAAGATATTAGCTTTCTATTCGAAACCACGTCTTTGCACTACAGAGAATAAATGATTCTGTGCACTGCAGAGTTAACAGATTATTCATATAACGACCAGAACAGCATATCAGTGAAATAAAACATAAGCAGTTGTTATGATAAAAGAACTCTAGTGACATTAAACTTTATTGATTAATAAAAAAAAATTAAAGCCAAGTTTTCTGAGATTATGAACACATCATAAACACATTAATTATTAAATGTTATGCCGAAAGATACACTACTCAGAATTAGAATAAAATCAAAAAAATTCTGAACATGGCATCAGCTGAAAACTAAGGGTGGTCATATTCTTCCCAAATCCCCAACTTTCCGGAAAACATTCCTGAATTTTCCAAAACTGCATGCACGCGCATGCGTCACACTAATATTCTAACTTTTCCCCATAATTCTATCTAATTACCATCGATCTACTTTGTAATGTGATTAGAAAGGGCAATCAAACTTCAGAAACATTTTTTTCAGATTACGATACTACAAAAAAAAAAAGAAAGAAAAGAAAATATATTCGAACTAGAACATTGTAAGTTCATGGCAGACGACAGAATATTACATTTTTATTTATAAAATAATGTTTTATATTAACTGTAATTAAATATAATGAATTAGATAATTCATTATAAAAAAAAGAAGACGTAATGATCAAGATTACATTAAACTTATGTCAATAAATTGGAATATTGCTAAGCAGCAGGGTTTGCGTTTTCATACAGATCCTGAGTTTGTTTGTAGTTAAGCAAAAGGCTACACAATGGGCTATCTGTGCTCTGCCCACCGCGGGTATCGAAACCTGTATTCTAGCGTTGTAAGTCCGCAGACATGCCACTGTGGGGCCCTGAATTAAACAAAAGGATCTGATGCTGTTCAGGACTTTTACAGGTTTTGTGATATTTTATAATTTTCGTTGACTTTTTTGACCCTCTTTTATTTAAACCTTCAATCTTTCCAGGATCGTGACCCCCCTAAATATGTTGTTCTTATGCTGCTAGTAACAAGAAAAAAGCCATTGAACATGATAAACGAGTTTTCAAAGTGTGAAACCTAGTTTTTGTGCGTTTCGAATTATCATCATAAATTATTTGTACAAACTTCGTGTTGATAACTAGATTTTATCACTCGTATTTACTGATGTATGTCGATTTTTATAAAGAGATGATAGCATACATTCATCTTCAGGTTTTTATATATTAAACGCCAAATGTACGTGGAATTTACCACGTGTCTTAAAGAAACTTTTCATATAGACATTATAACTCGTACTTCTCCTACGTTCACGTTTATTCAATAACGAATCAACTCCGGGCAACAACTTTTTATATTTGATACAACAAAAACTGTTAAGGTGTGTACACCTTTCACCGGCAACAAAATGATTAAAATTATACTTGTCATAAGGCATTAGCATTAGGCCTATTACATTTTAAGAATCTAGTGTTAAAAATATATATAATAGGCCTAATACTAATGTCTTATGATGAGTATAATTGTAACTTTTTGTATTATTTTGAACTATTATAAAGTCCTTGTGTAAGAAATATCATTAAATAATCAGATTAGCCTTTCTTGAAGATATTATACACTATACATATTGTCAGCTTCCAACACCAATACATATACAAAAAAAAAGTATTTGGTTTTGATCAGAGAAGCTCCGTTGTTATTCGGGGTCTTAAATGTCATTAAGAAAAAAGTGTGGCTGTTACCGATTTCTGGTTACAGACACATATAAAGTACACACTGGTTCAACACTCACGAGAAACAAAGCACATTCTGAAATCACCTTTCAGTCGTTGTAGAGTCTACACAAATTAAAATCTTTACTAGTAAGTTTACTTAGCAAATATGTATAGCTTTTCCTGCTAGGTTTTAAGTAGGTTATGATAGTCTAGTCTATTTGAACTTTATTGAGTTTGAACAATTATTTAAAATCTTTTTTTTTTATCATTTAATATTCTTATCCTTTTTTTCTTGAAGAGCAAACTTCGTAGGATTTTCTATCAAACACAAACTCACCATTTCATAAACTGAGATTTTTTGTAAATATTGTTTTTCTTGCTAATTTAGTAAGTATGTTCATCATGCAGAGGAATACAGATCATTTTCAATCATAACAGTGGTATTATTGTTGTCCCCAGCATATATAACGTTGTCGAGAAAAACACAAGGTGTCGCAGACACTTGTTTATTTGTACTGGTTGTGTGATTGCCATCATTTTCAAGGTGTTCTATGTCCTCCTTCACCGGAGTGGGTGGGAGTTTTCGTGGCCTAAAAGGTACAATGTTGAACTCACCTGATTTTTCGGTGTTGCTGCCATTAAATCTTGAGGACTGTGGCTGGTTACTTGAAGCATCACAATTTCCATTTCCCAAGTCTGAATTCATCGCGTTTTCTTTATCAGACTCGAAACCTCTAGGATTATTTTGACTTTTTGAAATCCTCGATTTTCTTTTTTTTTCGAAATCCACTTTTGCATATAACGCTAAAATAGCGGGGTCTATCACAGAAGTCGAAGGTTTGGAGTTAGATTCAAGAGTTGAAGGCAAGAAAATCACTTCATCTTTACTTTTATTACCGTCTAAAGGAAGCACTGTATCATTGAGATTTCTACTGTCAAATTCGTTTTGCGTGTTTTTTAGATTATTTAGAGCATTTCTGCTAAATGGAATCTCTTCATAAACATTTTCTTTAGAAGTAGAACTCTTTCTACTTGAAGACTTACTCTTTCGTTTAACGGAAGGGTTCGTTGAGTTGTACGAGTTTTCGGACACATTTATGCGACACAAGCTGCCAGAGGGGTCCAAGTTACTGTAGATACCAATCTGAGATATATTCTTCTTGGTGAAGTCATCTACGCTAGACTTTTGACTGATACTCTCCAATGGAAGTTCCGAATAGTAGTCTTCATTTTGGTAGAGAGAGCCATTAGCTAGAGAACGCGTGCTGGCCACACAAGAAGATCCAAGGCTATCAAAATCTCTCGAAGGGAGGGATACACTCTGTTTTTCTGAAGCACTCCTTCTTCTGGAAAAATATTATGTATACCTCTATGTATTATTACAGAAAGAAATGAAATTTATTTAAAACTTTATAACAGATAGTACCAAATATGCATAAAACGTAAAATAACCATCGAAATAATACTGATGCACGAACCAATCTACATAATATGAAGTATTAAATCAGTAACTTCGTTCGCAAAATTATCGAAAAAAGAAAGACATATTATACTAACATCAGGATACAATATATCAATACAATAAAGTATTATATCATCACTATAAAGCAATATATAAACAAAAGGACGAATTGGATCAAAACAAATACTCAATATATGAACACCAAGACGCAATATATCAAAGTAAAGATATAATATTATTTTATTCTGAGGTGCTCTGATTTCCTATATGTTCTAACTAGAGGTTCGGAAAAATATGTATTATGAAGTTAACTATGAGTTTTCTACGCGACTGAACTGGAAGAAGAGAATGAACACAATTAGAAGTGACTTCTCTCTCTCTGGCTTCTGGTAAGAGATCTACCATTGTCAACATCTACAGAGAGAGTCTCTAAGACCTTGCATAATTTCTGATTTAGACCTCTCCTGATCACGTGATTTACAGAAGAGCGACGTTCTCATCTACCGTTTTGGACGTCTAGGCTGTACATTGTTGTTGTGATGAGGTTAAGTGAAAACGTCTAGGCTGTACATTGTTGTAGTGATGAAGTTTAGTGAATATGTCTAGGCCGTACATTTCTATAGTGATGAAGTTTAGTGAATATGTCTAGGCCGTACATTGTTGTAGTGATGAAGTTTAGTGAATACGCTCTGAATCTTGAAAACTACACCAAAATGGCTTATGCAGATAAGTTGAGATTGCTTTACACAAATGATTTCGTTGTTTTTGATCCTATATTATTCCATAGATGGCCTGAATGGCTGTTCATGCCGGTGATTTGTCTGATCATGATACGAAGTCAAAACTTGATCAGTATCCCAGGTATTGTGATGTTCATGGACATCTTGTTGACTACATCAGAAAATTAACTCACGAAAGTATGAAATGATATAAAACTTGTATAGTTATACATTCTTTTTTTTTTTAGCAGGATGGGTGTCAGATGTGAAAAGGGTTGTTTGAAGTTAAGCACAAAGCTACACAAAGGGCTATCTGTGCTCTGCCCACCACAGGTATCGAAACCCGGTTTCTAGCGGTGTAAGTCCTCAGACATACCGTTGTGCCATTGGGGGACTATCCAAATAATAACAGGAAACTTTGTTTCAGCCAACGTTTCACCAATGCGGCTTCATCAGGGCTAATAGCACATGAACCTTTTAACGTGAAAATCCTAGTATTTATTCTAATACTTGGTCAATGTTTTTAAGATGTCCAAGTATTTTATTTTTAGTTTCAGGCAAATGAATAATATTAAACCTGCTAAAGTATTCTACTTCCAGTTCATAAAGGTCAAATATATTAAACATGCTAAATTATTCTACTTCCAGTCTACAATGGTCAAGGATATTAAACGTGCTAAAGTATTCTACTTCCAGTCCATAAAGGTCAAGGATAATAAACGTGCTAAAGTATTCTACTTTCAGTACATAAAGGTCAAGCATAATAAACGTGCTAAAGTATTCTACTTCCAGTCCATAAAGGTCAAGGATATTAAACATGCTAAATTATTCTACTTTCAGTCCATAAAGGTCAAGGATATTAAACGTGCTAAAGTATTCTACTTCCAGTCCATAAAGGTCAAGGATAGTAAACATGCTAAATTATTCTACTTTCAGTCCATAAAGGTCAAGGATATTAAACGTGCTAAAGTATTCTACTTCCAGTCCATAAAGGTCAAGGATAGTAAACGTGCTAAAGCATTCTATTTCCAGTCTATAAATGTCAACGATATTAAACGCACTAAAGTTTTTATCAGTTTCTGACAGTTAGAAGTTAGTGATGGTACCACGATTGTTACGCTTTTTCAAATATTTTCTGCACATGAACAGACATACTGTCAATATTAAATGGTTTCTTAAAATCTGAAGATATTTGTTTTCAAATTTCGCGCGAAGCTACTCGAGGGCTATCTGCACTAGCCGTCCCCAATTTTGAAGTGATAGACTAGGGAGAAGGCAGAGAGTTAACACCACCCGCCGTCAACTCTTGGGCTACTCTTTACAACCGAATAGTGGGATTGACCGTTACATTATCACGCCTCCAAAGGCTGAAAGGGCGAGCATATATAGGAAGGGGATTCGAACTCGTGATCCTCAGGATACGAGCCCAGCATCCTAACCACCAAGCCATGTCAGACCATTTAAAGTTAAATTTTATGGTTAATTCCAACTAATTGAATGGATGTCAATAATAACTGTTGTTTATCATTATTAATCATAACGTCTGTTCAGTAGTTACAGTTTTTGTGTTACAGTTAGTATAGAACAAGTATAAAACAATACACAGCCTACAAAACCTAAATAGTTACCTTCTGATCACCAGGAAGCCAACCATAAGGAGGACAATGATAATCCCCAAAAGCACCATTCCAACAATGATATCTGTAACGTAATAAAGCACGTCATTTTATTGTCTATTGTTTAGTGCGAATTCCAAATATTCATAAACCTGTTAAGTGATTGAAAAATAAAACATTTTCCAGGAGTTTATATGAAAACCTAACGTGTTTGTAATGATGTTAGTAGGCAAACATTCTGATACTTTATACCTGCTAATCCATAATGTTTTTTATTTTTTTTCTATTTCTGGATGGGAAACGTGTTGTACTGAACGTTTAGTATATTATTATAAGAAAAACATAATGAATACTGAATAAGGATATTGTATATAAATTCATACGCCAAGTATTTCATTCTTGCTTCCCTATCATAAGCAATTAATTATTTTGTTTGAACAAGCAACATAAGTTTATTTTGAGTAATGAAATCGTGTACGTTTATTTTTTAATTAGTCATCCATGAAAAAATACCGTTGTTACTTGTACAATGTTTGAACGTTTAAATCATTTAGATTAATAAAAAAGAAATAAGATTAAAATATATGGTATTATAGTTAATTTTTTTGTTTTATTTCAGAGACAACTCAGAGACACCAATGAAACACCAGAGTCAATATTTATATAATTAATATTTTTATTCACGAATTTTTGTAGGGTATTGTATTGTTTGTTTGTAATTAAGCACAAAGCTACACAATGGGCTATATTTGTGCTCTGCCAACCACGGGTATCGAAACCCGGATTGTAGCGTTGTAAGTCCGCAGATATGCCGCTGTGCCACTGGGGGGCTTGTTTGAAGTTAAGCACAAAGCTACACAATGGGCTATCTGTGCTCTGCCTACCACAGGTATCGAAACCCGGATTGTAACGTTGTAAGTCCGCAGACATGCCGCTGTGCCACTGGGTTTTTTTGTTGGGAGTGTGAAAGATAAGAAAACAAAGCTTGAATGGTGAATAATTTTTGATTCGTTGTTGTGCTCATTCACATTTTTATAAGGTAAAACATTTAAAAAATATATTACGTGACATTTAAACAAAATGACTACCTATTTTGGATAATGTCTTCCTTTAAACGTACTTAAAACACAATCATAAATAATAAGCACGCATGCTTTATATTTTAAACATCAAATAAAAAATACTTACTGAGGGAAAACTCGTCACCATCTTCCGACTGTCTCATAGCGGCGTCTGTGTTACCTGTAAGACAAAAAACATAAACAACATCTAAAGCGATAAGATATACAGAAGATCTTTGAACTTTCCTGGTTCATATTGTAAGTTGTATCAAGTACCATCTGTCGACATTTACAAAAAAAAAAACAAAAAAAAAACAATATAGAAATATAGAATATATATAGAGAGCACGATAATAGTTTCCACTAGTTGTCAAAATATCATCAACAATTCTTGAAAGTTATAATGGGGTCTTCTGTGTGCCAGCCCGAAGATTTATGGTTGTAATCGTGGGGATGTTAAGACCTTTATAAAAAAAAATGTTTAAGTTAAAAATATTAGGTTATATATATACACACTACTAGAAATAATTATGGAAGCAGTGGATAAAATGCAAATATTATGGGATTGCTCCACCCCTACTGTATGAACATGTATTGCACCACAGTGCAGTCACGTGTTGATAGCTTACATAGTTATTGGTTGTCATCAAGACAATTAGACAATGTTACACCAGCATAACGACTGTGAAAGCACAATCAGACATACTATTCCCAGCAGCAGTGTGGAGCTCCCAGAACAGAAATTCTACACGACAAACGTGTAGAAGCCTAATTAGGGCTGGATAGGCTTTTCCATACGAAAGATTGGGGTGAAATTTCATGTTTACATAGAAGTTGTACAGATACTTTAAACTGTTACAGTTGATAACCGTAATAGTAGTCGAAGTAGAAAGCCCAAACTCTTCAAAATTGAAGTACTTTTTGTGAAACGCAAAAATTTGGTTGATATTCTACTAATGATCCAGAACAGTAAAGTACAAACTAGTACGAAGTGGCCCTCAGTGGATGTGTAACTGTTCAGAAACCACAGCTTAGAGAATATAACTACACCAAAAAGTTGAAATGGACTTCATACTTCAAAGGATGAGATTAGCAAAGCTGAAGCATCTCTTTACAGATGAATCCAAATTCAAGTTGTTTGGCAACAATCAACAATAGTTTGTCCAATGGCAGAGAGAATAACGGTATCACGGTCAAAGTTTAACATCTGGAGAAACAATACAAATGTGGGCATCATATCAGCCAATGGTGTTGGAGGTCTATAGAAAATTGATAGAACCTTGACTGCTGACAGGTACAAGCACATTATTATCCATCGTACTATTCCTTGAGAAACAAAACATGATGAATTCATCTTCCTGTAAGACAATGATCCCAAGCATTCAGCAAATGTGGCGAAATGATACCTAGAGAGAACACTCGCAACCACGGCTGTATGGGCTTATAATGAAACTGGGGAAGATAAAAGGCAACAAAAAACTTGTCCTAACATCTATCGCTGTTTTAACAGGATATTTGGAACAATATTTCATCATTACACATTGTTAAATTTATGGTAGCCTAAAATCAAGATGTATTGCTCTGCTTAAACCGAATACAAAATATTAGTACACTATAAAACTTATTCGCTTTTCTTTTGTGTTTTCTGTAACAATTTATGACGTCCATTATAAATTTACCATTTAGTTGTAATTACTCATTGCTTTTGACTCATGTACAAACCTCACCTCTAGGTCGAATTCTTCATTTGAGAACAATTCATCATATTTACAAGAAAGCGTGAAGTATACAATAATAAAAGAAGACTTCAACTGAAAATGTTAAATCCATAGCTTTAAATGTATGACATTAAAATAGAAATCATTCATGTATTTGAATAGTACGTTACATATATATATATTGAAATGATTAATAAAAGGACATGAATTTAAGAATATGCCAAAACGTAGGAAAAATAGAATGGGAAATAAAAAAAGCAAAATCATTTTGAATGATATTTAACTGTGTATGATTTGCATTAACACAGAATTTCGCACAAACTGAACACTGCATTGAAGTTAATACTACAAGTACATATACCTCATAAGGTCTTTTTTTTAATTCAAAATGTGTTTTAGTGTAACTTTCAACTTGATGACTTCAATGCTTTCTTGTTGTGTGATAACAAAATTGTTTAATTCATTCTAAAATTAACGAAAAAATGCCGCAAGTTCTAGGAAGTTAAATGATAATTTGAAAAAGAGCGAATGTGCGGCAAGGATCCAATCATGAAGTTTAGCATTATATGCCACCAGGTGGCAAAATAGTTTGAAAGGAAATACTAAACTATTACATGTCCATATTATGTCTCTCAAAACACGTACAGTGTTACTTGGACAATTGATCTTAGTGTTTGTATTCGTATTTAGTAGAAGTAATAAGATTATTCACGTATTTAGTAGAAATAATAAGATTATTCACGTATTCGTATTTAGTAGAAATAATAGGATTATTCACGTATTCATATTTAGTATAAGTAATAAGATTATTCACGTATTCGTATTTAGTAGAAATAATAAGATTATTTACGTATTCGTATTTAGTATAAGTAATAAGATTATTCACGTATTCATATTTAGTAGAAATAATAAGATTATTTACGTATTCGTATTTAGTATAAGTAATAAGATTATTCACGTATTCGTATCGTGTGTCATGTGAGTTTTAAGACAACTGACGGACGGTATTATTCCAAAGGTTCACCATTTATTTAATTTTGAGAAACAAAACACAGGCAGTTCTGGACGTTGAACAATTTTACGGATAATGTCCAGTATCTACAGACAGTTCTGGACGTTGAACAATTTTACGGATAATGTCCAGTATCTACAGGCAGTGCACAGTTCTGGACGTTGAACAATTTTACGGATAATGTCCAGTATCTACAGGCAGTGCAGGCAGTTCTGGACGTTGAACAATTTTACGGATAATGTCCAGTGTCTACAGGCAGTGCGGGCAGTTCTGGACGTTGAACAATTTAACTGATAATGTCCAGTGTCTACAGGCAGTGCGGGTAGTTCTGGACGTTGAACAATTTAACTGATAATAGTCCAGTATCTACAGGTAGTGCGGGCAGTTCTGGACGTTGAACAATTTAACTGATAATAGTCCAGTATCTACAGGTAGTGCGGGCAGTTCTGGACGTTGAACAATTTAACTGATAATGTCCAGTATCTACAGGCAGTGCAGGCAGTTCTGGACGTTGAACAATTTTACGGATAATGTCCAGTATCTACAGGCAGTGCGGGCAGTTCTGGACGTTGAACAATTTTACGGATAATGTCCAGTATCTACAGGCAGTGCAGGCAGTTATTGACGTTGAACAATTTAACTGATAATGTCCAGTATCTACAGGCAGTGCAGGCAGTTATTGACGTTGAACAATTTTACGGATAATGCCCAGTAGCTACTGACATTTAAAGTTACGCTGACTAGCAGCAGCGGTGGCGCGTGGAATTAACCAAGACGCAAAGCCATGAATTTGCAAACAGTAAGAAGGAAGATATTAACGAGTGTAGTTAAAAAAAAGCTTCCAACTGACTGAGGACTAGCTACAGAAAACAAGTGTGGTAAAATATAGCTCTCAACTGACTGAGGACTAGCTAATAGGAAAACAAGTA